AAAAAAAACAGATGCTAGCAACAATTAATGAATCAGGAGATGTTAAGGGGCGATTGTGGAAATAAATTATTATACCTTCGGTAGCCTCTTTACGAGCAATATTTGCTTTCATAAGATCTGCTGAGGCTTCAGCGGCCTCAATACCAGCAACACCTGTACAGTAGCTGTTCTTAACCGTCTGTTGGCAACACTTGTAACCCCACTGATGATCCTTCCACCATGAGCCCCACACGCTCGTATGGTTGTTGATATAAACATCTTCTTCATATTTGCTCTTTGGAAGTGACATTTCCTGAAAAAAAAATCATGAATTAGAGATGATGTGTCGAAATTACTCACAAAAGTAATTTAAACAGGAAAGGATAAAGGAGAATGCAGATAAAATCAACTTTAAGGAAAGAAAAATGTGTTACGAAATACGATTGAGTTCCCAAGGTTTTTGCATTTTCATTGCTTTCATGGCTTTTTAACCTTTCCAATAAGTTCGAATCACTTATGTGTGTGATAAATGATGCAGCAAAGGTAAATTATTGCAATTATTACATGAAAAGGCAATCCATTTATTGCAATTATGTCTAGTCGGAGATAATTCACCTGACATAGTTCACTACAGTCAAATGCCGATGAAGGAAGATAATTCGAAATATTAATTATTAAAATTAAAAAGAAAAAGAAAAAGAAAAAGAAAAAGAAAAATACTTGCTAATCTAATCAATGATGGACCAGAGAAGAATGGCCGTGCATACCTGGCCTTTTATGATTCTACCAGCTCTGTCATATTCAACTTCCCTCTCACTTTGTCCCAGTAAGAGTTCACGAGGAAGTACTTCATCAGTGGCAGCATTACCATACTTCTCCATGATTTTGTCTTTAGTTTGAGACTTCAACTTCTCCTTATTAATCTTGAAGTTCTTATAAAGCAATTCAGCTTGTGAGGGAGCAGCTTGCATGTGGACATCATGTCCCTTGTCAAATGCTTCCCAAGCATGAATATTGAGCTGCTTGAATTCCAAAGCTTGGCCACTAACTCTGTTTTGGTTATCACCCTACATCATAAACAAAACATAATAAGCAAGCCATTCTAAAAATCAAGAGGCGATAACAGCAGAATTTCTCTAATTAATATTAGAGAAATATACTTACAGCGTAGAATTTCTCATTTGGATCCATATCTGGGAGAGGGTCCTCACGCATTGAACGGGTCTTCGGGTCATAGTGGGCAGAGTTAACATCGAGATTAAGTAGGTATTTGGCAGTATCCTCTCGAATACGCAAGTTCCTGGACAAAAGAAAAAAAAAAGAAAAAAAAAAATCTCCATTTAACAAAAACCCTAATATCATAACCATGCTACAAAATGTCCGCTGATATTATGATAAAATTCATAGAGAAAGTGATGAGATATTATATACATCGAAGTAATAAATCGCAAAGGAGAAAGTAAAGAGATAATTGTGTATATCAAAATAATACCTAACAGTTCCAGTGCTACCACCACCAGTTGTACGCACACGCTTTTCAACCTTTGCAAAGTCCATTTGCTTGCTCTCGTCAACTTTAGCCTCATCGACTCTCAGAGAATCATCATTGTCTTCATCATCACTGACCCCATCTTCGTTATTTTGATTACCATTTTTTTCTTCCAGCTTTTTGAGCTGTTGTTCCTTCAAATATTTGTTTCTTGCTTCATCTCTGGCTTCATACATTTGTATTACGTGTTTATAAGATGCAGCATCATATCCATTCCAACGATCCCTCTTCCCATCATAATCAAGCTCAAAGTTCTCTATTTTCTCATCTGGGGCAATACTTTTGCCGGTCCACTTAGCTCCCAGTTTACGTGGCCTCTCGACACATGACTTCTTATCATGAGTCATAGCTCCACAACTGTCACAAGTTCAAAGTTAACCCACAATGCCAACTTCTTTAAAAATAGGGGAAAAAAAAAATCAAGCAGAGAAAATGCTAGTCCATGCATATACTTCCAGTCACAATCGTAAATAATAGTTAGGTGTGGATTCACTCCCATAGTTCAACTTCAACAGTGATTAAAGATAAAATATATTCGGATGGAATAGAAGAACGCTACACAATGCCCAAATGAGAAACGAATGACAACACATTAAATAGAATGTGCATCATATAGCTATAAATTTCTTAGCCATCTCCGGAGTAGCAGCAAAAAACTGAATCAAACGCCATAACAATGCAGTATCATGCATACAATGTGCATCAACAGCAATAAAATTAAAAAAGAAAAGAAAAGATACTCTCCAACAATTGGAAACAATCCATAATGCATGGATGTTCGAACGCTAAAGACAAAATCCCTCCAAACCAAGTGATATATTAATTCGAGCATTTCATACATCAAAACATTGCCAAGAACAAATACAACAATTTTTTTTTTTTTCATATAAAAAAGGCATTTCAGGAATAAACAAAAGTTGTCCAACTACGCATAGCTACATAAGTATATACAGACAAAGGGAGATCTCACATACTTCTCACAAGCACCCTTTCTGTATTTGTCCGCTTGAAAAGTCTTTGCACCTCTATCGTACCACGACTTAGTATAGTTTGGATCTGATTTCCACTTCCTTTGATGTTTCAAACTCTGTAAAACCATATAAAAAAAAAGAGACACATAAGGATACCATATATCCGAGTTATTTCATCACAAAATAGTGCTCAAGAAAACAATACTAAACCAAGTATAACAATGCAACATACTGGTCTCTCGGCATTGAGATACCAAGGAGCAGACGACATATACTGCGGAATGTGAGGGTTGATTTCCTTTCCATCCTCATCAACTTCTGCCGGTGCAAGACCAGCTTTACGCGCCTCTTCTAGTTCGAGCTGCTTCCTATGATCCTCCCTTGATTTGAAAGCCACTGAAATATCCAAACCAGAAACCTCAAACATTCAAAACCCACAAAATAAAACTACAAGCCAGAAACAATAACTAAACCTCTTTTTCTTTCCGCATATGAACAAAGACTAACAGGAAAACAACAGAATTGCACAAGGAATGAACTTGATCAGCCTGGTGAGTCAGAAAACCCTGATTCAATCAGGGTTATAACCTAAACCCTTTTGTTTTTGCGCATAGACGACACAATTGACGCCAATAAAAACGAGTTCTTTTACTAAGAGCTCAAAATCGACGGTGAGTCAAGGTCATCTATCAGTTACGACTTAAGATTACAAAGAAATCGGTAATCCGAGGAATTATACTAAATACAACAACGATTGTAATTGGAGAAGCACAGATCGTACCTGAAGCAGTCGCCATGATTTACAGAGCAAACTCTACCCGCCGGATTTTGTTAGCTCTGTTATGCAAGAGACCGGAAAAGTAGAGATTTGGATTTACAGAAGAAAAAGAAAAGGATAAACAGAAATCGCAGGGCTAAAAGATGAATGAATTGATAAATTAATTTTGAGAAGACACATATTAATTAAAATTTAATTAATATAACAAACTATTTAATATGATTAACGGGCTAATAAATTAACTTACTAGTATTGATCCTGTGCACATACACAAAGAAAAATAAAAATCTATATATTATATGTATGTCTGTGCACATGAACAAAGAAAAATAAAAATTTATATATTATATGTATGCAATATATAAAAATTTTATATTATATATTTAATGTGTTACATTTTAAATTTTGACACTATGCAAATGTGTAATGTAAATATAATTTATTTAACTTACGTATGAATCTTTATATTGATGCCATAAATTTTAATGGCTAATATAATTTAGTAATTTAGAAGGACCATACAATTAATTAGTTAGAAAAATATTACAATTATTTTTATAATTGTTATAGCATTTGTTTATGTGATTTTAAGGTGTCTAATTCTTGACACTCATGCTAATTAACTAATATTAGATAAAAATCGCTTAAAAAGACAAAAATATTTTATTTTAGAAAAAGTATTTTAATGAAAAAATTGCAATACAATTTTTTTTATAAGTATGTAACTTCCACATACTATTTAATGTAAAGTTGTAATCAATTAGTGCTAGTAGTGAATAAATTAGTTTAAAATTATTATTACACTTTATTAATGTAAAATGTAACGGTTCTACATTAATTGAAAAAATGAGCGGAAAAATGAATAGAGGTTTTATTAATTAGGTTTTATTAAATGTTATATGCCAGCAATTATATATATATATATATATATATATATAGATTAGTAATTTAGTAATTCTCGAGATTATACAGACGTACAATAACATAACAATAACATAACATAACATAATATAACATAACATAACATAACATAATCCTCCGTATACATAATTCCCGAATGCGCTGAGCTTACGTGGCTGCTTCTGGTGTTTCGGAATCCTACTTGGCGAATAATCATGCTTCGTAATTAGGTTTGGACAAATAATATTGATATATTAATAATTAATAATTTAGGTTCAAACATTCTATAAATATTATTTATCTAATTTAGGTATTTTAATATCACTTGTACTAATATAACCCTTTAATTATTTGTAATTTTACATAGTGAGACACTAAGTGACTAATATATCACTGATTTTGATTTGTTTCCTTCAATTAGCTATTGAATTGTAAATGTATTTTAAAACTTGATAATTTTTGTATTTTTTATCGGTTTTACATATATTATATATCAAATTAATCATCTTTTGATAGTCTTCGAGTTGACACTCATATTATATATATGAAATAAATAAATTATATTATCTTTATAATAATAAAAAATAAAAATATTTATTAAAATTTATTAAAAAAATAAAATTATTTATCAATTGATATATTTATTTTAATGTAGTTATATGTTGTAAGTTAAAAATTATTATAATATAACACAGGTAAGTCGCACAAATAAAAAGGGTTATACTAAATATATAATAATATATATATATTTTTGTAAAAGATATTTAAATTTTCAACTACTTTTTCTCATTAATTTTAGACTTAAAAAAAATTAGCAAACACCCGTGTAATACACGGGTGTTATACTAGTAACAAAATATAACATAACAATAACAAAATATATTAATCCAGAACGCGCTGAGCCTACGTGGCTGCTTCTGGTGCTTCGGAATCCTATGTGGAAAAATTACATTGTTGACATTAAATTCCTACGGACGTCGGATGAACGACACGTGGGCAAAAAGGAAAAAAGGGAAAAAGGGGGCCGACCCGAGTAGAACAAGGATAATGTTCCCGAGCTGTATAAACCGACCTCGGAGGACCAACTACGTCAAGACACCGACCTCACTGCACAGGTGACCTCAAATATGGGCCGACGTCGGAACCGACAGACATCATTAAATGCACGTCCATCAAGATAGCTGAGGGCCACGTGAGGGCATCATTGCAAAGGGGACCCACTTGCTGAAAAGGTTCTGGGTCCTGTCACGCTGCATTAAATGCCGCCGCATCCCCTCAAAAGACGAGCCCACAGTTACTATAAATAGCAGTATTAAACACAATACGAGGATCTTTTTCCGACACATTTAATTTCGCATTTATCACCTCGGTCTTGGGATATTCTCCAACATTATTGTACTATTAAAAACCGACCTCAAGTCCGAAAAACCGACTTGAGTCAATCACAAATTACTCCACGCTTAACCAATAAACTCATATCATTTCTACGCGAATCCAAGAGATTAACAATAAAAAATGTTGATCAAATTCGTTTATCAACATACATGTTTCGTTATTTGGCATGGGTAAATTTTAATTTAATTCCAAATAAAAAATAATTAGGTTCGGATTACCATAAATATGTTGATTATTTACGGTCATGTTACATGTATTGATTGCATTTTAATATTATTCCTTATTATAACTATTGAATTGTATATATATTTTAAAAGTTAATAAATTTTGTATTTTTTTATAAGTTTTACACATGTAATATATCAAATTAATCTTCTTTTATTGAGCTTCGATTTAACATCCGTATTGTGTGTATAAAAAAATAATTTATATTTATCTTTATAACAATAATAAAATTATTTTTAATATTAATTAGAAAAATAAAATATTTATCAACTAATATATTTATATTTAAAGTAGTTATATGATATAAGTTATAAAGACTAATATAATATAACACATGTCAGTCATAAGTAATACGTATCATTCTAAAATATATAATAATATATCTTTTTTGTAAAAAAGTAAAATAAATTTAATATATTTTTCTCATTAATTTTAAAATTTAAGATTAATTATTTAACAAACACCCGTGTAATACACGGGTGTTATACTAATAGGACACTAATAGCTGAAAAATTAGGTGTTATAATAAAAGTATATGAAAAATTAGCCGATTTATATAGTTTTTGACTCAAATAGCTGATGGATTAGTTGTTATAATATAAATTTGGAAAAAATAGTTTAATAGTATGTTGAAATGAAAATTCAAAGATATTTTTTTATATATATATATATTATACTAGTACAATTCCCTTGCACGGGTGTTGATACAGTAATTAAATTTACGATAAAATTAAAATAAAAATTATATATTTTGTTGAATTTGGGAAAAATAAATAAAGAACAATATATAAAAATTTATAATAAATAACTAAGTGAATTAAAAATATTATTTTAAATTTTAAAAACTAATTTATATACATCATGAATTTTATTTGTAATATCTATATATATATTTATATAATAAGTCATCCTATTTACTATATTTAGTAGTAAGAAAAGTCAACAATAATTAATGCATCCTATTTGTAGGTTAGTATTTTATTTACTTATTCTGTATATTTGTTTTCTCCCATTACATCGGTTTAATCAAAAATTTCTTATAAAGTCTGTTTTCTCAAAAAATTGTACGTAAAACCCAAAAAAAAAAGCATATTTGATCGGTGATAAAATATTTGATCAGTCAAAATTATATCTTTATTTTCCATCACCCATAAATAAAGCATATATCATGCCTAAATTAAAGGGTTTAGTTGGAAAGAAAATGAAATAATTTCTTTGGTTTTTTATTTGTCATATTAGTAGGGTCCTCGAGTGTGATAATTTTTTTTTTTTTTTTTTTTTTTTTTACATGTAATGAGAATTGAAAATTATTTATAGTTTGTTGAATTTTATCTTAGGCAGTGTCACATTTTTTTTTTTTACTTTAATTTGATGATAGTCCCGTACTTAGAATAAATTATGTTCATTTACCCCAGGTAAGAAATTATTCTGAAAATCTTTCTTAAAAAAATGAGACGGATATGGGAAAAGATACAAATGAAGATTGGAAAAATAGATACATTAAAATTAGACAATTTTAAGTGTTTACTACAACTTTTTGAAAATTTTTACAAAATACAACATTAAAAATAAAGCATACATAAATCATTTATAAACAACAAGTTATAAACTAAATAACAACGCATTTTTTCCCACTAAAAAAACATAAATCGACCATTTACTAACAGAAGCTAAACCTTTTGTAAATGTGAAAATAAAAGTTATTTCAGATAAGTGGTTTAATTTTTTCCATGAAATTATGTGGGCGAGTAAGTTGCAGTATTGGTGAGAATGTAAGAACTGGGCTACGTACATAGCCTATAAAAGAATGGGCCACAAGGCCTATAATAATGACCGAAAAAATAAAGAGAAAATTACTCCTTACACCATAAATTTAAGTTTTTATTACAAAATTAAACATCTATTATAAATATTAGCAATTCTATTTAAAATAATGTTTTATTTGTAGATATATCAGAAAATCTCTCTTATTCGTTTCTCTCTTCCCCTCCCTCTCTCTTCTTTTTCGTTATCTCACCACCTCATCTCTCTCTCTCTCTCTCTCTCTC